TTTGACCCCCCCCCCCCCCCCCCCCCCCGCTGGATATTAAAACTTGTTTGTTTCTCCTCTTTCTCTGCCCCCCCCCCCAATTCTTATAACTGAATTTCTGGCTTCATTCTGAAGCTATGGACTTGAGAACAGCAGATGCAGGTAGTCCTCGTCTTACAACAGTTCATTTAGTGACTGTTCAAAGTGACAGCGGCACTAAAAAGTGACTTATGACCATTTTTCACACTTACGACCATTGCCGCATTCTCATGGCCATGTGATTTACATTCAGACCCTTGGCAACTGACTCCCATCTGTAACAGTTGCAGTGTCCTGGAGTCACGTGATCCCCTTTTGTAGCCTTCCGACAAGCAAAGTCAACGGGGGAAGCTAGATTCCCTTAGCAACTGTTTTACTAACTTAACAACTTTGGCGATTCACTTAAAAACTATGGCAAGGAAGGACATACCGTGTAGTGGGGCCAAAACTCACTTAAGAACCGTCTCACTTAGCATTAGACATTTTGGGCTCAGTTGTGGTTGTAAGTCAAGGGCTACCTGTAGTGCAAAATGATTTCAGCTCCTCTTCACTGTCTATATGGGAATTAAGCTGGAATTTCAGCAGATGTGAATACCTGTGAGCACTTACCTAAGAAGGACGGTGGATAAGCACTTTCCGCCCATGTCTTTGTGTGTCCACAAACTCTGCTTATCTGAGTCTCCTACTGTGAGTCCTTTGAGGTAGTTCAGGGAAGAAGCACAAACTATGAATACAAACACCAGCTTTATTGTAAGACTTAGGTAATAGATTCCTGCACCTCTCCCCTCCCTTTATTTTTATTTTACAGAAAACTAGGGAGCATCCTTTCCTAAATACTTTCTACACCTCTTTTCCTCCTACGGGCTACTTTTTGCAGACTGGCTCTTCCTGTCATTAAGCCTGCAAATGGCTTTATTTCAATTTTGTACCTATAGAGCCTCTCTAGCAAAGGGCTTTTTTTTTTCTTCCTAAAGTCCACGCATTCAAATCTTCTAATACTCGTTTCTAATGTACTGGTGCAGTGAAATGAGAAGGAACATGAGGAGGATATGGCAGTTTGCGCCCTTAACAGTTCCCTTGTCATACTTTGGTATTGTCTCTGTAAGTCAATTGCATGTGGTTTCTACAAGGAAGCCCAGTGGGCTTTGTATGCTGACTTATGAGGCAGATGCAGAGTGCCATAGCACCCCCTTGAGGCTTAATGTGGCAATGCCACATCGGCTGAAGGAGGAAAAGAGACCTATGATGAATTAGCAGAACTGATGGCTGACTTGAAACAGATTATTCAGAAGTTAGACTCTGCTTCATAAATGCAAGTATATTTGACTTTTGTTTTCAGAAGAAATAACAAGTATTTTGAATTCCACAGAGGAAATGTGGAAGTGTTATGTCACTTTTACCTTGGAAAGATGTAATCGGAAGACCAACAGTGAAGAATTAAGGCAAAAGGTAAATGCTTTGCCTTTGGATTAATACAGGTTTCTTCTGTTACTGATGCTGCTATTTCCCCTGGAGGGATTTCACTAGGATGTCCCTCAGTTCCCAGCTTAAAAAAGCTTTTAGAAAATTGATTTATTAAATAGAATATTAAGGCTTGATTAAGATAGACAGACTTTAGTGAAGTAAACAATGATCTGAAATGTGTGTGTGTGGCTTCGATTTGTATAGTTTGCCTGTGTTTATCTGTTCTTATGATTTTAGTGAGGCATGGTCAGAATTGCCATCCAATGTCTACAATATGCCCACACAGGCATATTCTGACCTACCTACCCTATTCTGGTGACTCAATAATATAGTACTTCACTTAAACAAAGAGACACCTAGTCTCATCTTGAGAGCTTATCTGATTGGCTCCTAATTTCTAAGGTTGGACTGCAAAATGGCTATATTGCTCCAAAATCAAAAGCAAGTAAAAGTGCTTAATGACGAATGGCTAGTTGGTGGGTTTTTTTTAAAGGAAGCTTTTGCGAAGAATCTTGTGATATACAGTAATATTTATTATAATTAAGCTAAGTTAATGAGAGATGGTTTGGTCTAGTGGTTAAGGCAGCAGGTTAAAATGTGGGAGAC